TAGCTCTTACAGTTCAGGAGTGGCTGAGCTTCGAAAATCGAAAATTTTCCGAGTTCGGGTAGAAAAATAAAAATATTTTTTTCTATCTTTCCAACGTAGGGGCAAGCTTGGATTCAAGTTTGAAAGCAATCCGACGATTTTGAAAAATTGGCCTTCACTGAGGCTCTGGACTTGTAAAGATTTCGCGAAAATCATTAATTTTCTAAGTTCATTGTCATGTTAATTACCTGTAAAAACGTTACATTCGCCTGGGTACTTAGAAAGATTTTGGAAAAAATATTTTCCGAAAATATTCTAAGTCCAGCCTAACACAGTGTTAGGTTTTGGACTTAGAAAAATTTCGACTGAAAAAAGTCAATAAATTTTTCAAAAATATTCTAAGTCCAAATTGGAGGTGAAATCACCCCTTATCTTAGATTCAGTTATATTTCATGGTGCGGTAATGAATAGGGCTCTGGACCGCCCCATGCAAATAGGATTGGCCATATATGTACAGAGGAAGGAACATAGAATTGAATCTAGGTCTTCTTCTGTTACATTTTATGAAAAGTGACTTACCTGATTGTTATACCTGCGATTTTTGAAAGGTTACCCTCTAATTACTATAGAACGTAGGGTCGAGATACTGGTAATAGAGTCTGGATGTCATGGAAAACGTCCACAATGGAAAACGTCCACAATGAAAAACGTCCACAAATTTATGGAAAACGTCCACAGACAATATGGAAAACGTCCACAGAAATATGGAAAATGTCCACAAATATATGGAAAACGTCCACAACCACTACAAATATCTTTAAAAGAGAAAAAGTGTAATTCTTAGGTAAATGTATATTATAAATGAATATTTAAATAAAGTTATTGATAAATTTTTATGTACACCAGAACTTATCAAACTTATGAAAATGTATTTAGCAACTAATTGTAAAATGTTACATTACAAGAAAAGTAAAGTAAACAGTGCTAGAAACTAACATTTTAAACTTCAAAAATCACACATTATGGATGATAAATTGAACAACAAAGTTGCAGTAGTTGAGAAACATTCATTTCAGATCTTTCAAAACTTTCCCAAGCTTCAAAGATTTTTTTTTGTAGATGCTTATAAGTTTTTCTCTGATTTCTGCAGATTTTCTTTTCAGATAGAAGCTTTTCAAACACATTGATTAGATCTGCTTCATGTTTCAACTTTTGAACAATTGTGTAAAATGATGTTCTATTCCCAAAAGATGAGTTAAATTTTTGATGGAAGCCTTCCAGATCATTGTTTGTGCGAATTGCTCTTTTGAAACATGACCAAGCTGATGGAGGCCAAATTGTACTATCAATCCATGTATTTTGAATGTAAGAAATCAGTTGAGATAACTCATTACATTCTTGCAGATAATCTTTTATACTTTCAAATTGATGTTTGATGTGATCTGATGGTAGAAATGGTAGAGAGAGGAGTAGTCTCATTGCAAACCATTCTCCTGTGCGATTTTTATATTGTGATTGATGTCCAAGCTCCTATTATTAATAAATGATTGAATAAAAACTATTAAAAAGTTATAAAAAACTTTTTATTTATACATTACCCCAATCTTTCTGTAAATTGCTTGACACCAGTGAAAAAGACATCCAATTATGTTAACATCAGGTGCTAATTCACTCATAGCTCTCCATGCACTCTCTTCAAAATCTAGCATGGCAGTTTTTGGTTGAAATCCATTAGTCAGTTTAAAAACAGCCTATAAAATATTAACAGTATTTAAAGAAATACATTTTGAATTTATCTTATTTACCTTGAATATAATTTTATAAGCTGATTTTTTCTTGGATGAGCAGAATGCAAATAAGAGAGGGACTTGTTTCAATTCTGAATCTTTTTTTAGAAATCCATGAATGGAGTATAATTGCTTGAATGGATCATTTGCAGGTTTGAATGTTCCATCAAGGAACCAAATATTTGTTGATTGTAAAAGATTAAGTTGATGGTCTGTTGCAAATATTACTACTCTTGTTTGCTTTTCAAAAATATCCACTTTCAAGAAGTTTTCTGGTAAGAACATTTGCTTTATAATAAATCTTAAACCAGTAGGCTCTTTTGGTCTATTTTTTCTTTTGTGATAGTTAACAACTTCAATGCAAGATTTTATTGATGGTAAAGATTCATTTTTGTTGAATTCAATTAGAGTTTCCTCTGCAATGCTTCTCCCATTTTGATGAACATTAACTTTGCCTTTCTCCCTGACATTCTTTTTCAAAATAAGTTTATTTTCAATGTCTTTAACAGGACTGTGAAAGTGCTCAGCTTTAGATAATGTATAGGAGTAATTCAATTCAGTAATTGCAGCTTTGCACTTTTGCTTCTTTGTTCTTACACCACAAGTCCAGTATGTTGTTTCACCACGATTACACTTTAATGTATACCAATATCCATTATGTATCAACACATTTTTCCCTTTAGCACTTGCCTTTTCAAGAATTTTGAATGGCTCAATTTCATCACACATGCTTTTTTCAAATACTTGATCATTTTCAGTTGAAATTTCCACTTCATTGCAAAAGTCAGGTACTGTTTCTGGAATTTCTGTTGACACTGCATATTCACTAGAAAAATCTGCAATATGTTCTTCATCATTAACCATTTCATCTGCTATCCTGTGCTCTTGATAAACTCCAAAATGAAAGGAAAAATTAATATCAGATGGTTTTGGAGAAGTAAATTTGTCATTAATGTCTTCCTCTTGAGGTGCAATTTGTGATGGTGGCATTATCATTTGCATAGCACTACTTTCATTCAATTCATTCTGCTGAGTTTTTTTGAATTTGCATCTATTCAGTTGTATAATAACTTCTTTATTGTTTATTTCTTTGCATTGAGTGCAATATTTTCCTATTTAAAAAGTAATATTTAAAATGTGAAACTGAAATTATTCACAGAGTCTGACCTTCAATACATTTGACATGGAATATGTATTTGCATAGTACACATTTCATTTGCTTTTCCTTTCCACAAAAGTGTTTGTTACAACTTTTGCATGCTGCCATTTTGAATCCTGATGTAATGCTACATTTAAAACATTCATTTAATTCAAAATTCGCTACTTTTTACCTGCCAATTAATAATAATACATTATGATAAATAAAGAAAAATAATACTTACAATTATTACACATATATAACACCAGTTTTAAAGCAGTTTCAATGAATTTTCCTCAAAAGTAAACAGCTTAAAAAAACAGGAAGTAGATATAACTAGAAAAGAAAACTGGTATAAAATGAATATTTTTCTTATACTTTTAAGATATCTCACTAATCCTTTATCAATTAATTTTCAAGTTCTTTGTTGTAAATATTTTTTTTGGTTTTATGTTAAGAAAATTCTTTCTATTAAAGTTGTGCACATTTGCTATTTCAGCTGTGGACGTTTTCCATTTTACTTGTGGACGTTTTCCATTTAATCTGTGGACATTTTCCATATTTGTGTGGACATTTTCCATATTGTCTGTGGACGTTTTCCATAAATTTGTGGACGTTTTCCATTGTGGACGTTTTCCATTGTGGACGTTTTCCATGACCCCCATAGAGTCTAAGGCTGCCAGTCAGCCATCCTCACCTACCACCGTTAACTTCAAAGCTCCATAGCTCCGCAACCGCTGGGCCGATTTCGTTCAAATTTTGCACAGTTGCTCAGTTCAATTAGATCTAGCACTGTGTAAAATTTCATAACGATCGGAGCAAGTTGAAATTTCAACTTTCGTCAGTGGTCGACTTGCTTTACTGACCACCAAATAGGTGATTTGTTGCGAGATAAAGTGTGGGATTGACCCAGTACCTATCCTAAGGTATAGTAAGCCTCTCAGAGATCAGTCTGGTGGCAATCTAACCAGCCACTTTTCCCCTCTCACTTGATAAAGGAGGAATACCTCCGAAATATTGTGAGGATTTTTTAATTGGTGAATTGTTTTAGTTGCGAAATACAGGTTCTCTTCACCCTTGTGGAGAATTTGTACGTGGTTTTGTTGGAGATACAGTTACAGCTTAGGCTGGGGAATTGCTACTCAAGATAGCAACTCCTCAATAGCTACACCAACCCTTACCCAAAGCTTGGTTATAAGTGTGTGTGCACTTTTGGGATTACCAGTCTGTACTGATTGTGCTAATCCCTAACCCCAAGACCTAACCCTGATCTTTTGAATCATTTAGTTCAGTTGAATATTGCATAACATTTCATTTTACATTTTACATCATGTACTTGTTTTCTTAGTTATTTCCATCTTGATAATACAAATAGAATTACTAAATATCATTCATTTATCATTTATATCTCATATCTTATCTTCAAAAGTTATAAAGAAGAGCAAAAAAGTATGTCAGCTATCCTTTAACATATGGGGCGAACTGTCACCTAAAATAGGGCGAACTGTCCCTTAAAATGGGGCGAACTGTCTCTAAAATGGGGTGAACTGTCCAGGGGCGAACTGTCCCTGAACCCATTTTAATATATACAGTATTTGTAACATTGAATCAATATATAATTATTATATAAATAAAAACAATAATTTAGATACCAAACACAATATATACCATTTCAGTTGATTCATTTAACTATCAAGAAAATGCATAAATATACACATGTTAATTAACATTATACAGGATACTAATGATATTATCTAAAGATATATATATATATATATATATTTACAAAATTTAAAACAGTCTTAAGTCATTATAATACTATTATAAATTCTAATTGGAAATATTTTCCCACATGAAAAGAAAAACATTAACCTGTAAAAAATTTTTCAGTGAAAGTGAAATTTTTTTAGTGAAAGTAAAAGCCTGACGAAAAAAATATTGATAAATAATAAAATTGAATAATTACTATCTTTTGTATTTTAAAGTTTTTTTATTATTTTCAAACAAACCAAAATATATACATTTAAAAAATGAAACAGATAAAATGAAACAGATTACAATATAGATATAAATTTATATATAACTAATACAAATGCCTAAAAACAAAGCAAATATTTTTGAACAACATAATAACATTTAACAGCAGACATTAATTCTTTAAGCAATCTAATAACAAGAGTTTCCTCTTTTTTGAATATTTCATTGGGATGATTTAATAACTTACATCCCATGACTTTCAAATTTTGACAAATTTCTTTGTCAAAAGTTTTTTTTGTAAAACACAAATTATTTTTGGAAAAAGGTAACTGCTTAACAATTTTTTTTATGTCTATGTCTTTTGGAATATTCTTTAAATATATAAAAAGATTACTGGTGATTAATTTCCAACCAGTTATAATTGGAAGTGAATCATCCATTTTTAAATCTTCAATACAAAATATTTGTATTTTTTTTTCTGTTTTAATCATAGATTGTACCTTTTCCCATTTTTTATCACCTAACTTAATAAATTGATCTGTAAGAATGGTATAATCAGTAACATTTGTAAATTGTGGTTTTACCTTTCTGAGAAATATTTTTTGTGTTTTATCAATTATATTTAAAGAACCAGTGTCTACAATAATATTATTAGTTCTTTGAACAATCAACATATTACCTACCTCTATTTTTCTTTCATTTTTTTTTTGTAAATCAATGTAGAATTTATCTACTATTTCTTCTTCTTCTTCTTCTTCTTCTTCATTTATCTCTTCCATCTCAATTTCTTGGCCAATTTCTAAATTAATACCCAATTCTTCTAATAAACCAATATCCATTTGTGTATAATTGACTGCATTACAATCACTTATTTGAAGAGTTGTTCCAGTGTCTGCTGATGCTGTTGTTGCTGCTTCTGCTCTGGCTGCAGCTTCAATAATTTCTTCATCACTTGTTGTAGTTATTGCAGTTTGTTTTCTTAGTGTTGTAGCAATAGTGTTGTCTGCAATAGTTGATGTTTGTGGAATTTCTTCTGTTGCTATTATTGGAACTGGTCTTGTTGATTGATCAATTTCTCTTTCTGTTGTAGTATTGTTTTCTTGTTGTGGTATAATCTCTTCTTCCAATTTATGTACTTTTCTATAAAATGTTAATAATTCTTTTTTCACACTTAAGCAAATTTTTTCTTTTTTTTCACCATATTTTTAAAGACACTTTTTATTTTTTCTATAAATATTTTTTTCACACAAGTCCAAAATTTCTTTAAATTCTTTTTCTTCCTTAATTACTTCCATTAATTTTGGTAAATGAACATATTTTGAAAAATCCATATTACTTTGAATGTATTTTTTCATGCTTTTCTTTGAAATTTTGATTAATTTTGAAATACCATTTTTCAAATCCTCAAAACCTTCTTCATCTTCATTCATTTTTTTAATTGTTGTGCCACCAAGCAATCTGTATTGGTTGACATGTGTTGTTAAAAGATTTTCCAAGTTTATATGGGATTTTGAATATTTTATATTGTAGTCAGTTGAAAATATATAATTTAACTGATGTTTTAAATTTGCAATATTATATTCTACATCTTTGTGGTATTTTGAAGAGGGTATAACCCATTGATTATCCATAATATTCTTTTAAGAATTAATGTCAATCTTTGACAAAGTCCAAGTTTAAACTGAAAGGTTTTTGTTTACATTTGTTTTTATGTTTAGTGTTTGATTAATTCAATTATGAATAGTGAATGGGGGACTTCTCAAGGTATTTCTCTTATGTAATATGTTATTGTTTGATGTACAGTGCTTGCCATCAGAAGAAAACAATAATAGGTTCATGTGTCCTATTGTGCTTGTTGGTGGGGAACAACAGAAGTCGCCCAGGGCAGAAGTCGCCCAGAAATTGATAGAAGTCGCCCAGAGCTGTGACAGAAGTCGCCCAGAACTGTGATAGAAGTCGCCCAGGACTATGACAGAAGTCGCCTAGAACTGTAGAAGACATAATGTGTTTGTTCTTTGTTTCTATTGATTTCTGACAATTGAAATATATAATAAGTATTAATAAATATAGAATGCATCATTTAATAATAACTAAATAGTGAATGAATTAAATAATAAAATACTGGCATTCTGTTGAAGGTTTCACATAAATATCATTTATTTGCTTAAACTTGTGCACAAACTTGAGGTTCTATTTGGATCAGTACAGCAGAAAATTCCCACAATCACAATACAAAGTACAGTATTGAGTTTTAAACTAAAAATCTTATGCATTTCATTTAATTTATTAAATTTGTTTCTACATTCAAAGCAGAATTTTGCCATGTTCATCAATTTCTTTCAAATACCTCTTATGTCAAAGATCATGACAATAAAAAAATTGTAGATATGATATTAATGGTACCCACCACATGATGCTAGAAGTAGTAGAGTAGATGTTGCCTCTAGGGTAGATGGTACCGAACTACCAGAATCAAGCCCTTTTATAGGCAAAAGATAAGATATTACATAACCAAACATGTTGACAACAACACTACAAAGTACAGTAATGAGTTTTAAACTACAAATCTTATGCATTTCATTTCATTTCTGAGTAGAGTTGACAACATTTTTCCAAAACTTGTGATGAAGTCATCTGATGAGCTTCAAATTTCTCCCAAATTTTAAATATTTCATTCTGCATATTTTTATATTGTCTTCTTTGATATCTTAATATCTTTCTCTCTGATAGCATTCTTTGATATGCTGGGATAAGATCTGCCTCTCGTTTTAATTCATCTACTACCAAATAGAATGAAGAATTTGCTCTTAAATTGCCATTTAGCCGATTATGGAACCCCTCCACATCATTATTAGTTCTAATAGCATTTTTATAAATTGACCATTGCTTTGGTGACCAAATTCTATCCATCATCCAATTCCTTTCAAAGTACTTTATTAGATCACCTAGTTTTTTTACTGATTGAAGGTAATCCTTAATTCTTCCAAATTCTATTGGAATTATGTGAAATGGAAGAAATGGTAATGCCATAAGCTGCCTCATTTCAAACCACTGTCCTCTTTTTTTTTTAAAGTCTGATGAATATCCAAGTTCCTATTAAAACAAAAAATGTAGAGTAAATCATCTTATATAAAAATAGCCTCATTTTCACCTGAATTTTTCTGTAAACAGCTTGATTCCAATGGAATAAACAGCCTGTTAGTGTAACACTTTCCCAATTGTCTAATGCAGCTTTCCATACTGCTCTTTCATAGTCCAGAACAATTTTCTTTGGTGTTTTGTATTCCAAAAGTTCATTTAGTGTCTGTTAATAAAATGTTATTTACTTTGAAAAAATTGTATTTTTATAAATACCCTTACCCTAAACAAAATATTGTATGCTTTTTTCTTCTTTGATGTCATAAAAGCAAAGAGTAGAGGAACTTGTTTTAATGCTCCCTCTTTCTTCAAAAATGAATGAATAGAAAACAGCTGTTTGAAAGGTTGTTTTACAATGCTAAAAGTTCCATCCACATACCAAATTTTTGAAACTGAAAGCAGATTGAGTTGCTTCAATGTGGAGAAAATAATGATTCTTTCACCATTTTCAAAAATATCTTTTCTTAAAAAATCATCTGGTATGAAAGTATTATTTAAAAGAAAATTTCTTCCAATAGGTTCAGTAGGCTGAGTTTTTCTTCTATGGTAATTAATCATTTCTTTACAAGTATCTACCTTCAAGATATTGCCCATATTTGCATATGGGAGTATAGCATTTTCAGCTAATCTTTTTCCACTTACATTAATATTACATTTTCCACTTTGTTTTGCTGTCAGTTTAATTTCAATGTTTTGCTCTAAGTTTTTTTTAGGTGGATGAATGTGTGATTTAGAACCTAAGTGAAAATTGCTACCTCTTTGAATTATACTGGCAGGGCATCTGATTTTCTTGTTCCTGACACTACATATCCAAATAGTACTACTTTTGTACTGTCCTTTTATAGTAAAAGAATTATTATTGTGTACAAGCAACTTTTTTTCTCTTTGACTTCCATTTTCAAATACTTTGAAATGACCATCTGCCTCATCAATCTCCTCTGGTAAACTTTCAAAGGAATCCTCAACATCTTCAACAGTTGGTATTCTCTCATCATCCAAAGTTGCCTCCATAGTTGATGCAGCACAGTTGATTTCATCTGTGTTCATGTCTTTTAAAGGTAGCTCATTTGCTTCAATAGCATCTGCTGAGAAATGAGAAACAACTTGTTCATGATCAACATCCATAGAAGTAACCGTAATGTTTGCTAATGTCTTATCTTTCTCTACAGCATTTTTTATTGGCTCTTTAATATTTCCCTCAATAGTAGATTCTTTAGTTGCATCTTTGATTGTACAACTATTATCACACCTTCTCAAAACAATTTTCAAACTTCTGATTTGAATAGATGAGCAAATGGAGCATAATCCATCTAACAAAATTAAACATAAACATTAAGATTTAAATATGAAAAATCTAACCTGATAAGCATGTCCAATGAAGTTTGTGAGAACAATGAGAACATGTTCCTTGTTTTAGTTTATTAATTTTTTTTCTACATTCAAAGCAGAATTTTGCCATGTTGATAAATTTCTTTCAAATACCTGTTATGTCAAAGATCATGAGAATTAAAAAAAAATTGTAAGATATATACATGATTTTAAAGAGACTAATATTTTTATCAAAACAATTGTTACTTTTGAAGGATTACAATGCAGAAAATCACTTAATTCGAATAGCTAACAATTCAATTTTCACAACAAATCAAGTGGTAAAACATTACTCTACAAAAAAAACTGGTAAAACAATTTCTTTCATTATCACTCAGAGATTACAAATAATAAATACAAACTACTTCATAAATTATTTTCATATATTTTGCATTTTATTAAGCATACTGTAAACTTCTAGTACACTTCTGGGCGACTTCTGTCATAGTCCTGGGTGACTTCTATCACACTTCTGGGCGACTTCTGTCACAGCTCTGGGTGACTTCTATCAATGTCTGGGCGACTTCTGTCCTGGGCGACTTCTGCCCTGGGCGACTTCTGTCGTATTCTTGTTGGTGATATATAAATTAACTTTCACTTTTCAATTTTCTAAATGCTTTGATCATCTTAAATGAAATAATCTCAAAGTATTATTAATTGAAATAATCATTTATTACTTTTTGTTTCATATAACATATTTAAAACATATGCATAAAAAATACAATACAATATACCTAGGGCATAACTCTGAAAAAGTACTTGATATATTGATAAAAATTAATTTTTTGCATTGTAATAATCACTTTACAAATTTGTTTGACTTTTATCTGATTTGTAATCATCTTGACAATAATTTTGCTTCAAATTTCATTAAAATCGGCCAAGTAGTTGCTGAGATCTGATTTTCAATGAACTCTATTTTTTAACAGTTCCATTACAAACATTCGTCATAAAATGTTTAATATTCTTATTATTTTAAGCACAATTTTGTTATTTATCACATAGTTTTATGTCTTTTTGCTGATACTAAATCTCTTTACAAAATTGAATTATGAACTACTAATATGGACCTGCATTTTATAAATATTTTAAAAAGTAAAAGTAAAAACAGTTGTATTATTATTCTTTACATTTTAGTATATAAATAATATGCATACATATATAAAGTTTGGTAATATATCACACTTATTTTCTTCATATTTTATCCAACTGTTTTTATCTTTTAATGTTTAACCATAAATTGTATTTTTCTTTTAACAATTACCTTTGCTTTCAGTATACACAGAGCTTTGAAATTTGGAATATAGAATAATACCATTATACAGATCTCAAATCTTTTTACAGAATTCAATTATCTCTTATGGTTGAAGAGTTATGGCAACGTTAAAAAAAATTATCCAAGCCAATATATTTAACATTCGGCAAGTGAAAACTAAATTTGCTATTAATTGATATGGACGGCTGAAATTTGGTACATACATTAACATTGATATAATGATCTCAAATCTTTTTACAGATTTTAATTATGTCCAATGGTTTAGAAGTTATGGCAACATTGAAAGTCTGTTCTACATACTCAATATAAGGCAATATACACTGTATAAATGATATTTTCAAGGAGGCTATATATTTGTTTTGTTTATTGTAAATTATTTATTTAATATAAATACATAATCCCTTCAGTCTGTAATAATTTATATATATATATATATATCTTATGGTTGAAGATATATATATCTTTATGTGATTAGATAGTGTACAACAACCAATCCTATATTTAAACTTATACCATGTACTGCATAGTTTTCTCCAAACACTTACAGAATTTTCAATAATATTTACAAATATTTTTTCAACAGGAAATAATTAATTATATCTTTTTAATTGTACTTAACCTGATATTATTATGCCAATCATAAATTTTTTTTACAGAAATCAATTATCTTTCACAGTTTTTGTGATGGACTTTATTACATTTTCTTTATACAATTCATTACCAATAATATTATTTTTTCAGTTGGAAATATGTTTTTGATATAACGAATGTATTGCCAACAGCCAATAACTTTTTCTGACAATGATTTTGGTTCAAATTTGATCAAAATCGGCCCAGTAGTTGCTGAGATCTAGTGTTTTCTATGAATGCTATATATAAACACTGTATAACCTTATATATAACATAAATATTCGTCAGAAAAAAACTTTTTTTCTTAATATTCAAGTTAGAGCTTTGAAATTCAGTATATATAGTAATTTGGGTATGCCGATTCCAAATCTGTTTACAGAAATCAATTATCTCTCACCATTTCTGAGCGACAGTGTGTCAAAGTTTAGTATGAACCCTTTTTTGAGCAATATATTAAAAAAAAATGTACTGCTGAGGTGTCTGTTAAGTAGTTAAAATCTTACGAACTCAATGTTATTTGGTCACTCTGTCTGCTATAGAACACAACAAAATGTAAGTAAATTTGTTAATTTACCCCATTTAATTTCATTGTTTGTAATTAATTTTTGTAAGTTTGTATCTATAAAAATATATAGATTATTGTCTATTGCTTTTTAATAATTCTTAACAATTATTTCCCTTTCAATTATTGATAATTTCTATCAAGAGTGATAAGTTACTTTTGGACAGTATATCATATATCAGCCTATATTTTATTTTTGTCACAAAAATTTTAATTCCCTTAATAATTAAGATAGAGATTTGAAATTCGGTATATACACTAATATTATGACACTGATTTTAAATCTTTTTACAGAATTCAATTATCTCTTATTGTTCAAAAGTTATGGAACGTTCACTTTTGATAAAAAAATTTTTATAGGCCTATTTTAAATATTCGTCATGTACAACTTAACTCTGGTGTTAAGTAAGATAGAGCTCTGAAATTTGGTATCTATAGTAATATGGGTATGCCGATTCTAAATCTTTTTACAGAATTCAATTATCTGCTATGGTTCCAAAGTTATGGCAACGTAAAATTTTTTGCCAATCTACTCAACATAGGCTGTATATAATAACATTCGTCATGTTAAAAACTAATTTATTTAGAAAGTTTGTACATAGATTAATTTCCATACGCCAAAAACAAATCTATTTACAAAATTTCATTATATATTTATTGTTTAAAAATGCTTATTTTTTGTTGCTTTTTGTTCAATATGTTGAGAGTGTTTTTTCCTTTCCTCAGCTACTGAATATGACTTTTCAAAGATATCCCCATCCAGAAAAAATTAACCCAACATTTACAAGTTTTACTTATAATAGTCTCTTGATACAAATCAAGCATATTCTATTAATTGTTTTTAATTCAATGAACAATAATTTTGGAAAATCTTTTGAGACTCTTTTCAATAGTCATATTTTGAGTTATCCATTACTTGGAAATTTAAAAATTTATGAACACAAAAAGCTATATAACAGAATCAAACTTCACTTTGAGGAATTTCAAGAGAATGTCTATACTGAGATCAAGAATTATTGCAAAGAACAAATTGACTTAAATCAATTTTTTTATTTAAAACCTCTTCTTAAAACTCCTGCAAGTTGGGGACAAGTGGAGAATTCCTTACCATATGTCATTTATCAAGTACTAAAGACTAAACCCAATTGTATGGAGGGTGCTGAAATATTTAATGATGTAATTGCTGAAATCAAAGAAATGTATTTTGATCAACTTGTTGAACCAGAAGTAAATGAACAACTCAATTCAACATTGATAATTGATAATCAAAACCAGAATGAAACAAGCCATTTTGCACCCACATCAACTTCATCACCAATACCAATATCAAATGAAAATGAAAATGATAATGAAAATTGTAAAAAAATTAAAGATGCTAATGAAAGGTATTTTAATTTGGAAAACAACAATCATTTAGCAATTAGGTCTTTCAATTTTCTGTAAGAAATTGAAAGATTTTTTCCAAAAAGGAAACAAAGAAAAATTTTAAAAACATTTTGCCCCACAATGGATTTTTGTACAGAAACTGTAATTATATCAGACTATTTTACTGACATTAAAGTTCCAGATTTTAAAAAAATTTTTCAAAAAAATAATATTAAGAATGTTCAATTATTATTATTCAAAAAGTTATCATTCAATACTTTTCCATATTTGCTGGTTGAGTGGCCTTTAAAGGATAAAAAAATTATTGTGATTTTGAAAGAATATCCAAAGAAACTGAAATTTGAAATTGTTGACTTTTTAAAGTTAAAACCTAATATGCCAAAGGATATCTACTTTTTAAAAAAATATTTTCCAAGTAGGATAGAAAATAATTTGGGTTGGAGTGGCTTTCATTTAATTGATTTCGACCCAAACAAATATAAAAAAGAGCAGACAATGTTTCTTAAATTTATAAAATATGTTTTTTTGGAAAAGAAATTGGTTTAGAAACAATATTTTCTATTTCATTTTTATTTGTATATATGTTTTTAACTTTTATATTCAGTTTTCTCTTTTTCTTGTACTTTTTTTCTATATATATATATATATATATCTTTGTGTATTTCAACTTTTGTAGTTTTTTCTACCTTTTTCTAATAAATTTTAGTTTTCAATTTTAAACAACTGTCTTACATATTTTCTTATTTATTCTTTTATAAAGTTTATAAACATCTTCTGACAATAATTTTGCTTCAAATTTCATCAAAATCGGCCCACTAGTTGCTGAGATATGGATTCTTTTGAACATTGTACTTTAACACTGTTACAGGTTAATATATTTAAAGAAATATTCGTCAGAAAAAGACTCTTTTTCTTAAAATTTAAGATAGAGCTTTGAAATTAAGTACATAAACTAATATTGGTACGCCAATCTCAAATCTTTTTACAGAATTCAATTATCTCTTATGGTTTCCAAGCTACGTTGCCTTGATGATTAGTGCATCTTCCTTACATAATTCATTAAAAGAATTTTATTTTTTAAAATGGAAATATTGTTTTTGTGTAACTAATATATTTCTAATTATCCATGTCTTCTTCTGCCAATAATTTTACTTCAAATTTGATCAAAATCGGTCAAGTAGTTGCTGAGATATGGATTCTAAGAAACATTATATATAAACACTATTAAAAGCCTATAT